AAAATTAAAAAGCACGTTACTTTTCGTGACATTGAGTTTCTGTATACAAAATTTGCAAGCAAATTTTCTGAGTTCGTTCGCTTTCAAGGAAATTATTTCAGCATTATAATATACAACAAGGTAATTTTTAGTGCAATGCTTATTAAGATTGCGCAGTAGATTTTTAACCGACTTCCAAAAAAGGAGGAGGTTATCAGTTCGTCGGAATATATATATATTTTTTTTTTTTTTTATGTATGTTACCGCATAACTTTGGACCACGTCAATCGATTTCGATAATTGCATCGGAAAGGTAGTGTCTCAGAGGTGGTCCCATACTAATCTGGTTGAGGTCCGATCAGTGGATCATGAGATATATATATATATATATTTTTTTTTTATATGGGAGTTGAAGTCGGTTTTTTTTTGCTAAAAATTACTTGTTGTATACACAGTTTGGCTCCTGAGTTTACCATAATTTCTTAAAATCTGCTTAGAAATTGCCCGTATTTCATTCGGCATCAATGTTGCCAGAACTTTTCGGGCCGACCGGCTAAATTGGCAAAGAAAAACGGCTAAAATGTTTCAGCTAAATTAACATGTTTTATTTGAATGAAGTTGAAAGATTAATAAATTCATTCAATAATTTTAAGTTAAGAAGAAAACTATCGTTACACTAGATTAATTAAGCTCTACATCAGAAGTCATCTTGCGTTTGTTTGACTTTTTTTTTTCTAATGAAAAATTTTGTCTTATATTGTAACATTTGCACTAGGTTACTTTTCGTTCTGCAAAATGGCTTTATTAGTAGAAAGTATTCCAATTAGGCTTATTCGGGGGGCAATATTTTGAGAAATGAACACGTAAAGCTGTTAAAAGGCTGAGGAAAATAGTGCACCATTATTTCGAAAAGCCAGTAAATTATGTTCAAAAAGCCGGACGCTTTTTAAATTTTTAACAATTAAACTATGTAATTTTATTTTGATATCCATATATTCGAAGCGTTCCCGTTTTTAAAGACCTGCTACTCTCTGCACATGCCTGTCAGGGCAACACTAAAGGATATTAGCACCACGATATAATTATTCATAGATATTGTCTTTCCAGAGAGTTTTTCTTCACATGGAAATTCGTGCTCTTTTATTCTCATCCGTCTTTTGCGAATAAAACTTCACACTACAATTTAAGACATTCATAAAAAAATTGTATGAACAAATCCCCGCTACGTTCGTTGGAAAAAATACAGTGACGCAACTAGAAAAATTATGATAAGCAGTTTTGTAGTCTAGTTTAATGAGGTGCAGCTTTGAATTAGCGAGGACTTACTGCTGATTTTTGGAATTTTTTAATGACGGTGTACGAATTTTTTGCCAGACAAAGTATGTTCGACAAACAAAACGGAGAAACACTGTCAAAAAAAAATTGCCTAAAATCAGCGGTAAATACTAGGTACTTTAAATTTTCTACTTTATTATACTTATTTTAAAATTTCTAAAGATACTGATATTTTTTATAATTGATATAAAATGATATTTTTTAAGTAATCAGCTATATAAACATTAAATTAGCTAATGAAAAATAAGCCAAACTTGCTAAAATGTCGCGTCCCAGTTTATATTTGGGTCACCGTATATGTGCTTAAAAAAATCATTGAAATCGGCCCAGTATTTGAAGACTTTTCGGATTAGAAAAAATTTTCTTTCAATTGTGTATCGTTGACGATACTGCAAAACGTTCTATGTCACTTATTTCCCCCGGTGCTTAGTGGATCTGTTATCTGTATCTGATCGCTTCTGGTAATCGTTCATCTTCGTCAGCCAAAGGTACACAGTTTTGTCATTCGTTTATTAGGGTGTAATGATTTGCAGATGCATTCCAGTGGAAGTAAGAGACCATCTAAGTATCAAGAGTACTAATAGACATAGACCGTTTTGCAGTATCACCGACGATATATGTAACACACTTCGACAAGAAAAATTTCTCCGAGATAAGGCTATCAATTTCTATTCGATTTTTGGTCGCTAAATTTGCAAAAATTGAAACTTATATATATAAATTTTAAGAAAATATTGCAAATAGCAAAATCGGTTAAAAACGGTTATTTTTTTTTGCAAAGCGGCTAACAAATCGGCTGCCGGCTAAACCAAATTTTCTCCGGCCGTTTGCGTTCGCAACCCGCTAAATCGAGCCGGAAAACGGCTAAAATGGCAACACTGTATGTATTTATGTATGTAGATATGTCCTTACATACGTACATAATCCATGGTGAGAAAATGTATAACTTAAGGACGAGCACACCTAAAATAGAATTATTAGCAAAAACCAACAATACTAACAACCACATGATCAAGTGAATTGCAGCGGAATAGCTGCGCTTGATTGTGTTGGCATAACAAAAATGAAAATAGTGGAAAAAAGCAAACGATAATTTACAAGGCGTACTTAGCACGGTGCATAGGCAACTGGCTGAGTCAGTGGGATCGTCGGTTCGAAGCCTACTGAAAGAAGTCTGATGAGGAAATGTGGTGATTTCCGAAATAGATATCACTTCTACAATTTTTTCAAATTATTGTTGCTTTTCCACAATAAATTTTCATTAAAAAATGGCCTCGAGCTCAATAAAAATTGTTGAATATAATTGTTATAAGGACAAAAAATAACAAAAAACAAATAACTTAAGGACGAGCACACCTAAAAGTTAAACATTCTAAAAATAGAATTATTAGTAAAAACCAACAATACCAACAACCACATGATCAAGTGAATTGCAGCGGAATAGCTGCGCTTGATTGTGTTGGCATAACAAAAATTAAAATAGTGGAAAAAAGCAAACGATAATTTACAAGGCGTACTTAGCACGGTGCATAGGCAACTGGCTGAGTCAGTGGGATCGTCGGTTCGAAGCCTACTGAAAGAAGTCTGATGAGGAAATGTGGTGATTTCCGAAATAGCTATCACTTCTAGCATTTTTTCAAATTATTGTTGCTTTTCCACAATAAATTTTAATTAAAAAACGGCTCGAGCTCAATAAAAATTGTTGAATATAATTGTTATAAAGCCAAAAAATAACAAAAAACAAATAACTTAAGGACGAGCACGCCTAAAAGTTAAACATTCTAAAAATAGAGTTATTAGCAAAAACCAACAATACCAACAACCACATGATCAAGTGAATTGCAGCGGAATAGCTGCGCTTGATTGTTTTGGCATAACAAAAATGAAAATAGTGGAAAAAAGCAAACGATAATTTACAAGGCGTACTTAGCACGGTGCATAGGCAACTGGCTGAGTCAGTGCGATCGTCGGTTCGAAGCCTACTGAAAGAAGTCTGATGAGGAAATGTGGTGATTTCCGAAATAGCTATCACTTCTACCATTTTTTAAAGTTATTGTTGCTTTTCCACAATAAATTTTCATTAAAAAACGGCCTCGAGCTCAATAAAAATTGTTGAATATAATTGTTATAAGGCCAAAAAATACCAAAAAACAAATAGCTTAAGGACGAGCACACCTAAAAGTTAAACATTCTAAAAATAGAATTATTAGCAAAAACCAACAATACCAACAACCACATGATCAAGTGAATTGCAGCGGAATAGCTGCGCTTGATTGTGTTGGCATAACTAAAATGAAAACAGTGGAAAAAATCAAACGGTAATTTACAAGGTGTACTTAGCACGGTGCATCGGCAACTGGCTGAGTCAGTGGGATCGTCGGTTCGAAGCCTACTGAAAGAAGTCTGATGAGGAAATGTGGTGATTTCCGAAATAGCTATCACTTCTACCATTTTTTCAAATTATTGTTGCTTTTCCACAATCAATTTTCATTACAAAACGGCCTCGAGCTCAATAAAAATTGTTGAATATAATTGTTATAAGGCCAAAAAAACAACAAAAGACAAATTAAAAATTTTGTACAGAATAATGATTATTTGAAAAATTTAAACAATCAGGCTAAAGCGTGATAATTAACTATTCTCATAAAAAAAATTAGCAAGATACATGCTATGAATCAGTGGATAATAAATAATTACTGAATTCATCAAAAAAAAGTTTAAAACAATAACTCTTGTAAAACTTCGAATTTTCCAAAATTGCTCAAATTACTATTTTTTTTATGGTTGCAAAAAGAATAGAGTGATTTGTGCGAAAAAATCTCGACCTTCCAATTTTGGTTGGCCCACTTGAGAGACTTGCACTCTGTATGAACATGTGTTTAAATATAACCAACATCAAACATACATCATATATGCATGTCAAACAACTTAGCTATTTTATTTTCTCCTTAAAATACCAAAAATACGTGTGTAACCAAAGAACGTAGATAACAAGAAAGGACAATTGTACAATTGTATAATTGTAGCGAAAGTGCGCAACAGGGGCGTGCCTTCTCTTTTGCCCTAATGCGCTTTTTTGATTGGTTGAAAAGAGAAGGCACGTCCCTATTGCGCACTTTCGCCACAATTATAACAAGTTGTCCCTTCTTGTTATCTACGTTCTTTGGTGTAACTGTAAGTAAAGAATCGTCATTTCACACATTGCACAGATTTGAATTGAATTGTTTTGCATTGCCTTTCATTGCCATTGCTTTTCAATACCATTGCTTTTATTGCCTTCTCACACAATGGATGCTTGAAGCGACAATGCTTAGAGAGAAACAAGCTATACAGTGACATGAATTGCTCATTTCTCTCTGTGCTCTTGCATAGCATTGGTGGTTGAAAACAAAACATTGCATTGCTATGTTAAATGACCAAATGGCTTGAAACTCGCTGTAACTCGACTTGTGCACCAGTCTAGTAGGTACATATGTACAACTTGCAAGATTTTCAAACCATTTGCCCGTTGGCGAAACATTAAAATTTACCAATTCAGTACGCGAGGTGCTGGCTAGTCTTTTTTCCCCCTATAATCCAAATAATCGCCAGATTAGCCATTTTCAACTCTAATTGGACTGCAATAATTTATATATGGGTACCTATGTATATTTCGGCTTTGATATTAAAAATGCCGTTATATTTACCCGCATTGGTCAATTTATTGACCATTTGCTGCGGCATTACACCCAAGCATGTGAGCAATGGCTCAAATATCAAATGCGCATCGAGCAGTTTTATTGAGTCCTGCAGAATGCCACCACGTGTTTGACCCGCGCCTGGTAATTTCACCGGTGCCGGTCGAATTAATTCCTTTTCAACGGAGTTTTCCTTCTTTTTGTTGTCTTGCTGCTTTGCCATCCAGAAGTACAAGTCCTCTTTTTGATTCCCCGGCCCAAGCCAAAACTTATTTACTGAATTGCTAGAACTCAATGAACCCTCCTGCAATGCGCCATACTCTAAAATATGCAAAAAACATTATGTATAGATCATATACGCGCTTAAAGTAAATTGCTTAGGCATCTCACCGAATTCCGGCACCTGCTTCTCTACCAGTCCGGAGATTATTGGCAGCATTTGTATGCTAGAGCGAGATGAATTGCCATGTGAAATATTTGAGCATCTACTTAATGCTTTGCTACAATAACATCGCATGTGTTTCCGCATAGAAGTTCGGTAATAAAGCGATTGAAACAAGGACAGAAGAACGCATATTTACACACAGGAATTCATATGAGGCAATTAAACGGGTAAAGAGGACAAATACATATACAAAATGAAAATAAAACTGGATTTTGAATATATCGATGTATTTATACTAGGGTGGTCCAAAAACAGTAAAGTCGGAATTGTAATGCTCTTACCCCCTAGGATTGTTCTATATCAAAAAAAGTAGAACCCTATTTTTTATTTTGAAATTAAAAAATATTTAGAGGTCGCTCAAGGCGCTCAAAGTTTTCCATGTATTTTTATATGGGAAAAATAAATTTTTTTCGTAGAAATGGTATATAATTCTTGAAAGTAAATATTTTTCGATCGGAAAACTCTGGTTCTCTTCAGGAGGCTTTCGATAATAATACCCAATTATTTAACCATTTTTTAATACTAACGATTTTTTATCGGTCGCCCCATTGCATGTTTCGGGATTTTTTTGGGGTTTTGGCGGACCTATAAATTATAGTTGCAATGAAAAAATGGTTAAATAAACAATTGGGTATTATTATTGGGAATCTCCTGCAGATAAACAGAGTTTTCTGAAAGAAAAATATATAGCTTTTTAACTATTCTATACCATTTCTACGAAAAGTTGTTTTTTCCCTATATAGAATTCATGGAAACCTTTGGGCGCTTTGAGCGACCTCTAAATATTTTTTGATTTTAAAATAAAAAATAAGGGTATATTTTTTCAGTATAAAACAATCCTAGGGGGTGAGAGCATAAAAATTCCGACTTTAATTTTTCACATGCATTTTTTGACCACCCTAATGTATACATATCTTAACTTATATAATAAGTCAATAATTTTATTGATTAACAATCACTGAAAAAAAAACTTACCCTTTTCGTGTTACATGAATATTTGGTGATGTGGAGTTTGACCTTTGTGCCGCGCCATGTAAGAAAGCTTCATTAGCAAATCTCATGCCAAATTGTGAAGTATCTAAATTTTAAAATATTTTTCTTGTTAAAAATCTCATACATGCCTACAAATTTGAAATCACGGTAATAGCATGTGAAAAGAAAATATAATAGAATCTAAAAATAGATATAGGGTAGCTTAAGATTTATTTGAAAGTGCAGAGTATTAGATCGAAAGAAACTCAGTGTACACAAATGTAAAATAATATCAGCACATTTCAGCCAAGGTCCAAAATGATGGTGAAATAAAATGTTTCATGTAAATAAAACAGAACTTGCATTTTAATCTAAATGTCGTTCTGTTTGTGGCAGAGAAAGTTTCATTCAGTGGCGGACTGGGTCAACTTGTCAAATAAGGTTAAATTAACTACACACAGAAAAAAGTAACGTAATTTTTTCAAACAGCGTCATTTTTGGGGTTTCCATATTAGCAATTTTAAAATTTTGAACAGAAAAAGTATGTTCACATTATCGTAATTTATCGTTCATTCGTAATTTATAAAAAACTCATGCTAAAATCAAGTAATTTTGCCATGTAAAATTTGTCAGTAAATGCGAAATTCGCGAAAATTCAACCAATTTCAAAAATTTGCTATCAAAATTTTAGATTTTTTAATCAAATGTTTTAGAAACGTTTTGGGCGTGCATTTTTATAGCCTATTCAATTCCAGTATAATAAGGTGCAAGTTCGAAGTTATGAATTTTCTTCGATATAAAATGCGAAACGCCTCCAACCAAAAAGTTCTCTAAAAGCGGTACTAATTTTGAGGTACTTCAAACGTTCGCTTTTTGTACTGAGATTGAATGAGCTATAAAACTTCATCCTAGAGCTGGGATACTATAGATAGCATCGCCACTCTATAGTTTACAAAACGATAGTTGAAAACATCAATAGTATCGATGGTACTATCGTCGTGAAAGGTATTGAATTTGCTTGAAAATTAAGTAATTAATAAATTTATAAAATTTATAAATTACTTTGTAAAGTAAAGAGATTATATAAATTTTAAATTTGAGTGTATCAAAAAGAAGTTCTTATAATAATAAAATAAACTTATCAATTTATGCGTCTGAAATATATATATTTATATAACTTGCATCCACTTGAAAAGCGACAGGCAAAATCTGAATTTATTTTTTATAAGGAAAAATTAAATTCGGATTTAGTTTGTCCCTTTTGAAGTACAAAGAAGTGAAATTTGGTTAAAATAATACATTTCTAATACTACAAAACAAAAGATATTCGTTTAAATTGACCACTCATACTTATAAAAGACGCATATCAAAATACGGACAAGGGAAATTATTAACATATTACCATATTAAAAGAAAGCGAATATATTAAATAAATAAATAAAAAGTTTTCAAAACTATCGATAGTGGCGACGGTTTTCAACTGTCGATACTATCGATATTACTATAGATTTCTTTAAAAATTTTAAGCTGTTTTCAGATTTTTTAGAATTTTTCTGAGTACACAGTGTCTTAAATTTTAGTGTAATAAAATGCAGGTTTGAAGTAGCTAGGCAAGTGTTGATTTTTTTAAATTTTTGGTCACGCATTTTCTTCGAAACAAAGTGTGTTGAAAAATTTTTTGTATGGAGAAAATCCGCAACACCTTCCACAAAAAAAATTCCAAAAAATCAATAGTAAGTCCTAGTTACTTAAAATTTGCACTTCATTAAAATAAAATTGAGTGGGCTACAAAACTGCATACTCAGAATGTTAAAAGAAAGTTTGAAACTTTTACTAACAAGGTTTTTGTTAGATAACAAGCTACACTTTCATAAAGAAATAAGAAACATTAAATAAACGAAAGGGAAATGCCAAAGAATGCTAAAATATCGTTACTGTTAGTATTGTACGATTATCCGTGAATTAATCGCTGAATTCCATAATCCTGCCGATACCACAGTACAAGCCACCAGACAAGTCAGTTGCGAATCAGCAAGCTATATGTTCAGTTGTGTTAGCAAGTTTTCTAAAGTGTTTTAATTGCCTTAACAAGTATTGTTATTAGTTGTTATTGCATAAACAAGTATTGTAAAGTGTTTGTTGTACAATAAAGTTAATTGTACTGTAACTTGGTCATCGCATACTGGGGCCAAGCGTGCTCAAAATTCAAATTTTAAAAACTTTTTTTTTTTTTGCAAAAATAAAAACGCAGGTTTATTCCCCATTAAATTCTACATTTGGGGGTAAGTTTTCACCTTTCTATCGTTTTTCGGCTGGGAGATATGCGTGTTCAAACTTGACAAATTTGAACAAAAAACTTTTTTTTTTTTAAACTGAGAAATTCAAATGTACAATTTAAATGGTTACTGTAAGAAAGCGGTATTAAGGTATCCCCACACCTATGCGATTCTGCCGGTGAGAATCTCTTCCGACAAAAATTACAACAATGCCGACCACAGTTTTAAATGAGGAACTTCACACTTGTGCGATTTTGCTGCAGCGATTTATTCGAACATTCCCAGTTCTCCTTTTGGTAGTGCCGAAATCGCAGACTGCCACGTTTTGAGAACGAAAAATGTCAATAAAAGGATTTTACAATATTGAAAGAAAATTGAACGTAAGAAAACAAAACATATTTGATGTAGAAAAGTTAAGAATTTTATTTTTGATGAAAAATATTTTTTGTTTGTCTATAAATTGACAATTTTTACTGCGATAAAATCGCTCAGATGTGTGCGTACGTGCGTTTTCGAAGCAGTAACGTTTGTAGCATCAAAAACGGTGCAGTTTCGTTGCGACATAATGCATTGGTGTGTGGATACCTTTAAATTTCGTCATTTTGTTTTTTCCATTACTTAAAATGAAGTTTATTTATTCTTTTGGTAAATTTTGTTTGAAATTATGTGTTTTAAAAAAATTACGATTAAAAAAAACTAAGCTAACCTCTGTTTTTTGCAAGTGTAATTTTCAAAATCCCTTTTTTTTAAATGCGCAAAGCGCTTTTAAATTTGACAGCACTGCAATAAAGTACTAGGAATCCGGGTTCAAAACCAAAAGCCCTTGCCCATTTTTAAATAAATTGGTTTTAAAAATTTCACTTTGATTTTAATTAAACACAAAAACATACACTTCTGGTTAAGTTTGGTTCTGTTTCATTTCGAACTTAAACTGTTTATTATTTTGAAGTTGCTCAATGAATAAAAAGCGGATTTAGTTCTATCAAGGACTTTAAAATCTTTAGTGAGAAGCGGATTTAGTTCGAACAAGGACTTTAAAAACTTTACAGAGATCTATAGTAGGAAAACGGGTTGCGCTGACAATTCAGGGGACGTTTTTAATAGATAGCTAGTTTTATTAGACCCTCTGATTACTTGCTCGCACCTATTGCCAGTGGTCACCAACCGGAGATCTTTCTTTGCTGAAGCAATGGAGTTAGTAGAACTTGAAGCGAATTATATTAGTTTAACGGGGCTTGGATGGGATTCAGATTCCGATTATGAGGAATAGGTGTCACAGTTTTCATTACATAGTGCTTATCATAACTTTAAAACACCCACACATTGAAAAGTTTTGACTATTCTTTTTTTATACCCGAGCGCACTTGTGCACAAGGGTATATTAATTTTGTTCACATAACGGTTGTTTGTAACAGCCAAAACGAATCGAGATAGATATAGACAAATGTATACATAAATGATCAGGATGAAAAAAGAAATCGATTAAGCCATGTCTGTCTGTCCGTCCGTCTGTTCGTCTGTCCGTGTACACGATAACTCGAGCAAAAATTGAGATATCTCAACGAAATTTGGTATGTAGGTTTCCCTTAATCCAAGGTAGGTTGGTATTGAAAATGGGCGAAATCGGACTTTAACCACGCCCACTTCCCATATAACGGTAATTTTCAGAAATACGAAAACTGCGATATTTTAGTAACTACTGGAGATTATTCACTCAAAATTGATATTTATAATAAGTTTTAGACGAAAAATAAGAATATTATAAATTTTTGGAAAATGGGCGTAGCCACGCCCACTTATGGTTACATATGTATATCTCAGTAACCGCTGCACCAATTTCTTCCAAACTTGGCACAGTTGTTCGCCTTGGTACAGCATAAAAAGCCGCCGAAACTTTTTAAAATCGGACAATAACCACGCCCACATCCCATATAACGGTAATTTAGAGAAATACAAAATCTTCGATAAATCATTAAATATTGAAGCTAATTTATTCAAAATTGATGCTTGCAACAATTCTTTACCAAGAAATACGTTTATGGTAAAGTTTTGGAAAATGGGCGTGGCACCGCCCACTTATGACCACATATAAGTATATCGGTAACCGTTCTACCAATTTGTACCAAACTCGGTATGGTTATTGTACTTGCCACGTGTAAGCAAAACGTTGAAAATTATTGAAATCGGACTAAAATAACGGCCGATTCTCATATAACGGTAAATTTAAGAAATGCTTGAAACTTCAATATTTCGAAATTGAAGGACGCTAATTTACTCAAAATTGATACACCTCGGCTTACTATCTAGCGGAAGGTTTCGGAAGGGTGAAAAAACATATATTTAATACATGTGCCGGGTATTTAATGTTCGGCTCCGCCCGAACTTAGACTTTCTTACTTGTTATTATTTAATTTTAATAATTTTTTTCTTTTATAAAAATATAGTTTATTTCTTAACAAAAATCGAATAAAGCTAAGTTTCCAACTTCGTAAAAATATCGATGTTTTTGATAAGATATTTAAAAAAGATTTTGAGTGCAAGTTTGAAGTAACCAGGATATACCGTTGATTTTTTGCAAGTTTTTTGGTGAAGGTGTCGCTCATTTTCTACATATAACAAAAATCGTCGAACATACATCGTATGGAAATACGTAAGTCCTAGCTATTTCAAACTTGCACTTTAATGTACTACAATTAAATGGGTTACAAAACATCATACCAAAAATCCTTTTAAAAGTGCGTATCATAACTATAAGAGGCCAACATATTGAAAAGTTTTGACTATTTATTTTATTAACCGACTTCAAAAAAAGGAAGAGGTTATCAGTTCG